ATATTATATACGTGAGCTTCTTTCAGCATTTTGATCTTGGGAGTTTGCCTTTATGGAGAAGGGTCACCGAAAATATTTACAGGCAAAATGTTTAGCATCTACTTGTCATACAGTCGGCAGAGTTGTTACATACAGACTACATGCTCATAGCGAAATCGGAGTGTCACGGATATCATTTCGTTATGTGCGAATTTTGAAATGAACGTGTTTTAAAGTCATAGAATATACATGTGTTAGACAAAATCGCACTACCGAACTTCAAAACAGCTGTGAGAAATTCAACATGAACATAAGCACATCAATAACAGAAGTTATGAAAGTGAGCCGGAACTATAGTCCCCTGAACATCCATGTCAACCATAAACAACTGAATCCGGTGAAGGAGTTTAAATACATCGGCAGTACTTTTTCTGAAAACGGGTCCATAGACAGAGAAAGAGAAATGCGAATTTAAAAAGCCAACGCTGTCACCTACCATCTCGCACCCCTCCTATCTCATCCAAACGTCTCCATGGACACAAAGAAACGGCTTATCGCCTCAATATTCATACCCACATTATGTTATCAGTGCCAGACCTGGACTTTAATCAAAACCCAAGAAAGCAAAATCACCGCATGCGAAAAGAAATGTCTCCGCAAAACCTTAACATCACAAGACGAGACAGGCAGAGAAATGAAGAAGTAAGAGCAGCTATTGGCACTGAATCCTGCCTGCGTTACATAGAAAGACAGAGGAACAAATGGTTTGGCCACCTGTTACGTATGTCATCTGACCAGCCAGCCTTGAGAGCCTACAAGACCAAGCACTCAGGCTATAAAGGAAGAGGAAGGCCACGCAAAAGGTGGATCGAGGGTGTCAAGGAAACCCTAAGAAAATATAACATCACAACTGAAAGAGCTGCGGAGCCGGCCTACTATAGAAAACATCATCTCTCCTCGATGCTTAACGGCAACAGAGGATGAAAAAGTAGAAGTAAAGTAGACAGAAATTTGTAGTTAAAAGATCTAGTCGCCTTGTGCATGTTTGGCTATGTGCGCGTTAGACTGTATTAAAATTTGTTGCGTCGTACAAAAAATCCAACGTTTTATCTGTGTGACACTTGACTTCAGGTGAGGTTTGAACTTACACGCTTCGGCGTATTCATCCACACCCTCTAGGGAGGACACGTCTAGTTTCCACTTCCCCATGAAAGCGTCCATTTCCGATATAGTCTGAACAAGGGTTGAGCAGTCCACACGAGGTTTTGTTCTGGTTGCTGTCATAAAATGAAAGAAAGATATGCAAACATGAAAAAACCAATCCCACCCTTAAAAAAAATAGAGAGAGAGCGAGAGAGAGAGAGAGAGAGAGAGAGAGAGAGAGAGAGAGAGACAGACAGACAGACAGACAGACAGACAGACAGACAGACAGACAGACAGACAGAGAAAGTGAAAACAAACCCCCCAAAAAACAAAATATAAAAACTAAACAAATAAAATATTGCTTTAATTAAAAAAGAAAGAATTAAAGGAAAGAAAATGGTTTATTAGGTTGTTGACATTTTATAGACAGGTTTTAGGATAAAACCCCCCAAAAAACTAACCAAACGTGCCTTGAGCTAGGCAGTTTAAGAAATTTAATAAGTCCCTACAGAAATCACTCACCTTAGGAAACTCCGAAACACCCAACTCTGGCATCGACAAAGCTCTCGCAAATCAGAGACAAGCTCTCAAATACAGTAAACGGATATCTAGAAAACGAGAACTGGTCATACCTCAATGTTCTAACACTGAAATGGAACAACGGAGACATTGGTGATTTAAATAAAATTGTCTTTATCTACTTATATTTACCAGCAACAAGGAGTTCAGATGTTCATTAAGACCAATTCAACTCGAGCAATTCTTCCGTCACTCTCGAGTGTTTAAACAGATAATTCAAGGAGCTTCTCACAGTGCCTCGTCTCCCCGATAAGTGTCCAAAGACTAAATATAGAAATTCTAACACCACATTTCAGGGACGGCCATGTTGGTACTAGCACCTTGTTTATTTATAGCTTTTTCTGGCCCACTGTCGTTTGTTTGCTGACGTCTGCTGTGGTGTAAAAGTCAGGCACTTCGCTGCTGCACGTAGGAGACCTTAGTTCAACTCCCTAGTGAGAAGACATATTTATTGAGTATCCTTGTTGTGTTCTGTTGGGATGTTGTATTTTCTAAAAGTTAAAACAAAACTTTGCAGGAGCTTAAAAAACGACAAAGAGGTTTAAATACATAAGCAGAAAAGAAGGAGAGATACTGAAGACGTATGTTTTATAGGTCAGATGGAAAAACAAACAACACCGGAGCACCCGCCAACTGCCCATTTGGGTGGCAATTGGTTTGTTGTCGTGGGGTTTTTTGTCAATTAAGAAATTTTTTTCACGCCCTCATTTACACAATTTAGTTCATTTTGAAAGCGGGTTGAGAGGAATACAACATCCCAGCAGAAAGACTTAGATACTCGATAATTTTATCCCCTTTCGGAAATCGAACTGGATAATGATGATACTGGTTTGGATGATGAAGACGACCACAATGACAAAGTAAGTAAGTAAGTTTATTCAGTGTTTAAGGCCATTGGCCATCATCACATGGCACACAAACATTCATCTGATAAATAATATGACAATGGTAACGATGGTGATGACGTTTGTATCTTCCTCAGCCTTCCTTACCTCACCCACCACCAACTCATCTACCTACCACCGTCAAAATGGAAGCCTTCATGGGTGTGTGGAGGTTCAACTCCTCAACAATCAGTGGGGACGCCGACCCCATGCTCAACGCAGGTCAGTCACCTAGTCATGTCTGACAGTGGGCACTCCGTTATCTATTTATTTATCTATCTATCTATCTATCTATATATCTATCTATCTATCTATCTATCTATCTATCTATCTATCTATCTATCTGTCTATCTATCTATCTATCTATCTATCAAACTACTGCTGGATATGTGCATAGGTTCATCGATAAGTCAACGACAGCAGATTTTCTCCTCATCTCCACAGTACTGGGGAAAGATATATAACTTTCCCTTTGGAACTGTAACCCCCATCCCCCACTGCTCCCCCCGGTCAGCCATTCCAATCCCTCATTCCCCTTACTCCCTCACTCCCCTCACTTCATCATCCTCATCTCCCCCACTCTCCCTCACTCTCACCCACACTCCTCTCACTCCTCCACTCCCCATCTCCCTCATTTTTCACTTCCCAACAAACCCCCCACACTCCCCCC